CAACCAAGCTCAGAGAGCACCAAGGACTCCACAGTTCAACCCTGAGCTACATATATTCTCTCCTATTGGAATTGCTATAGAATATACAACTGTCTATTATAATCAAAACTCTCCTCCTAAATAGAGACAATACAAATGAGGTTACCTTCATTTCTGCAGATGAGCTCAGAATTTCATTTGGAGGTTCCAGACTAGGATCATCTGTTGTCTCAATGGCACTGGAAACCTCCCCGGTCTGCCAAAAAGGAAGCATGTTTATTCCAAGCAAAACAATGCCTCCCTTCCACCCCTTGAGTCTTGCAGGGAGATCAAACCTTAAAAGGGATGATCAAGGTCTTGGGACAGGAGTGGTGGGGACAGAACAAAGGAAACAAATCCTACATACAGAATTGCCTAGGTCTCAAAGTACTATGATAGCAGCAGTGTGGGCAGCAATCCTTTTAGTCAAGTAGATTTAGATAGAAGCCGAACAGTTATTTGCATTCTTTACTCAGAAGAAGAGAAATTGAAATGTTTTAGAATTGAGAGAATCATCTGGAATCTGTGAAATTTACAACAGAACAGAGCAGTGTAAAAGGGATAAAGCTTTGTATTCTTTATTGAAGGTAAGAGTTCTGAATTAACTAATTAAAACCTTATTTTAACTACATGAATGCTTACCAGTCTGCTTTTGTGACAAGTCATCCATCAAACACACTTTTAAATCTATTAATACACCAAATATGACGCTCTTATGAGGAAAGCAAGTTATATATCATGCATTTTAGGTTCCCCAACTGGCAAAGTGAATTTGGTAAAGGTGCTTTAAAAAAGGGATTTATTTTTAAATTTCATTTTTTTTCCAAATAGGAAAAAGATATTGGAGAAGGGTTATGTTTCTGGAAATTTTACATTTATCCCAATTTGGAGATGGGGTGGAGATGATCTGGGATTGAGATGCCACTTGTTTTGAATGTGATTTCATTCCACTGGAAGAATTAGGCTGGCAGGCTACAATACTCCTTGGATCACAGCTGCTGTTTGGATCAGAGGGCACCAATGATTAAGATTCCTTTTTACTACATTCAGCTATGGTCTCAGCAGTACCCCTGCCTGGAGAAGTCAGATCAATTTCCCCACAGCCTCCAAATCTTGATTATTTCAAGGGATTCAACATAGGGCTGCCTTTGAAAGTAAGCAATGTCTCCCTCGAGTCCAGATCAACTTCTGGGGACTTCATGAATACATCCATGCAGTCTTCTTGACAACAATACAGAAATAGTTTGCCTTTGCCTTCTTCTCAGGTGATTCTGACATCCCAGTCTAGCCTAACTTAAGCCCAGTCTAAGTACTAACCAGGCCTGACCCTGCCTATCTTCTGAGCCCAGACAAAATCAGCTAGGCACTAACTGCTGAGGGGTCTTTAAAAAAAGAGGGGCTTGATATTTTGAACGAAGCAAAAGCCCACTGCCAGATCAGCTGGATCACAGCAGCATTATAGTTCTGATATTATGTGAAGAACATTGATTTCTGTGTTCTATTCAATCTGGAGGACCAGGTTTGGAAAATGTAGCTGAATATCTGTTTCCTACTGAGCTTAGACACTGCTCTGGAAGCCCTAGGCATCTAAACTTTGAGCAAAGCTTTTAAGACATTAGGGTTTTTTTAGTAGTGGCATTTGTTTTATGAAATACTGTCCCTGGGTACTAATTGAAAGCATTCTTAAGCAGGCATTTTTCATTGCCTTAAGTTTCCCAAAATATTTTTGGTGTTCTACTCTGTGTGATATGTTTGCTGGCCTGTATGATTTTCCAGTTTGTTTTTGCTGCCATGCTGTTTCCTTTGTTTTAATATTTTTGTATTTGATTTTTTTTTAGTTTCAATTTGTATTTTAGCCAATTTAAAGTTTATACTACATATAGACAGATTATGATATTCTTTTTTTTTTTAAACTACAAACTATAAACTCTGAATCTTTGGGCTAGAGAGCACAGCATCTCATTTGAGCCTAACACTGAAAAACAGTAACAAAATCTACCTTTTGAATCAAGTCTTGGTTGTGCTGGGCTTCATTTTTGCTTCCTTCATCACTTGGAGTCTGATAGGAAACTACTGTAATATCAGTACATAAATGATCAGAAGTATCACCATTTTTCTTTTCTTCATAATATGTGGAAGGCATCCAATTCTCATCCCAAATTTCTTTGCATAAATACACTGGCTCCAGGTACGGTACTTCAGGATCTGAGCAATGGCTTGCTGTATGCTAAAAAATGTTTGCATTTTAATTATACATTTAATTTCAAATGCAATATTTTAGAGAATTTGTTCACTGGAAAATCTTCTACAAAATTCCATTTATTAAAAGTAATCCACTCACTTTTAGCCATTTTGTTAAACTCCTACACTGTACAGGTAGTCCTCGCTTACCAACTGCTTGTTCAGTGACCATTCAAAGTTATGAAGGTGCTGAAAAAGGAGATTTATGACTGGTCCTCAAAGTTGCGGTCATTGCAGCATTCCCACAATCACATGATCGTGATTCAAGCACTTGGCAACCAGCGCCTATTTACAACGGTCGCAGCATCCCATGGTCACATGATCACCATTTGCAACCTTCACAGCTGGCTTCCAACAAGCAAATGAGGAAGCCAGCAGGAAGTTGAAAGTCACAGTCACGTGACATCATGCTTAACAACCACAAATGATTTGCTTAAGGGCCGCAGCCAGAACTGACTTAGTAAGTTGGTGCAGTCACACGACGGAGTTGCTGATCCCAACTGTGGTTGGTAGATGAGGACTACCTGTATCAACTTTATAACATAGTTTAGTAAGTTGCCAATAACTTAAGACACTAAAATATTTTTAGTGTTTTAGAGTTTCAAAATAAATACGAGATTTGCTGAATAAATACTCCCATATATTCATGTTTAACTTTTATCAGACACTTTGCAATATTTTATTCATGTCCTTTTCTATTTACCACCTTTTCAGCGGGAACCATCTTATTTTAAACTCTTCTTGTGTATGCTTCATTTCCTAATCCCACTGACATATCTTGATTATGTAATTTCACTCTCATTGCTTGAAAAGGCAAAATACTGAAAAATGTATCTGTAGAGGCATTAACATGTGATTGTCAAAGTATTTTAAACAGTATGAGAAAATATTTATGAAAGATTATGTAAGATTATCTCATCCCCTGAATAACAACAAAACAACAACAATAATGTATTAAATTTATATGCTGCCTGACTGCCAGCAACTCTGGGCAGTTATAATAATGGTAACTTAAAAAAAAGAGTGTCTGAATTTCATTTATTCATTCAAAGCACTTATTTGGAAGAATTACAGAGTCAAATGAGTATGGCATATTGAAGGAGTGAGTAATGTATGTGGGAAAAAAAGGGGCCAGAAGTGAAAAACATAAAAGCACAGGAAGCCATAGCAAACATATCTCCCTCTGTGTACTGTCAAAGGCTTTCACGGCCAGAATACAATGGCTGGTGTGGGTCTTCCGGGCTGTGTGGCCGTGTTCTGGAAGTTTTGTTTCCTAACGTTTCACCAGCATCTGT